CGTAAAAAATGAAATAAGAAATCTACAATTATCTTTAAAGATTCACGCTTTATTTTCATCTTCTTCTCCGATGAAAGCATGTGTTACGTCCTATGGACGTCCCACGATTCTTTTCTTCTGTGGAAGATTGATCGTCGTCACTCGGATATCATTTATGAAACATAAGTAGTTAATAACAGTCTCGGACTGTTTATGGAGAGAGTAATCAAAGAGTAATCTACCCCCTTATATCAACCACGGAGAGTTGGAGACGATGAAATTTCAGACATAGAGACCACGGTCCGTTCGAGACAAAAGATCGTAATATATTTCTCTTTCAATAGACGAATAAATAATTGAATCAATTCCTAGTAGTAACTCCATACCCTTGGAGATAAAACGCAACACCGGTGACCAATGCTAATTGAACAAAGACTAGATATCAAGTTGCTACGGAAGTTTAGAAATCATAGATTAAACTTTTGAGAGGAATCTATTTATCGTCATCCAATACCGTGGGTTCGTAACTAGCGACAATCTTTCTTGATATAGTTCTAAGAAGAGACCGCGAATCTAGCGATAAGTTTCACACGAGACAATCAAAGTTTACACTAGCCACCCACTCCTATCCTTGGCGACACCATCCAAAACTGACCAATCCGATGCAAGAAACGGGGCGGATGACTAAAATCAATTCCACCAATAATCTCTCGTTGATCTAAACTTTTTTAAACAAAAGAGAACGCCAGTACCCTCCAGGAGGCAAATCCCGCCAATCAAAATCCTAATCGATCAGGCTATTACATCCCGTAAGGATCCACCCTCAAAGATAGTCTTATATGAACCGCGATCTCGCGAGCCGAGGGCAGTAGAGTTGAGTTAAAATTTTAGAGTTGAAGCAGTTGAGTTAAAGAGTTGAAGTTAATTTTGGTTACCGGTTAGAAGCACTTTTCATGTGACCTTTGGTGGGTGTGATCGCCAGTCAAATAAAAAGAGACTATTGTCCAAACTATAGTGGAATGTGCATATCCTCCACAACTTCTTCGCATTTCCTGAGCCGGTCTCGAGTATCAAGGACAACAACAAATACCAGGGGCTTCGTCAAGACAAGTGAGTCACTAATTTTTCCTTCCCCTTTTTTTTTCTACCCTCTGTTTTTTTCTTACGCGTAGAATATTATCACTATCTTTCAGTCACAGCCTCTGCATTATTTCCTTTAATCCTCACTTTCTACCCTTGTATCGAGGACGATAAACTATCTGTCGTCCTCATCCTCCAATATTTAATTCTATATCCTCATTTTGGAAGGCCGGCTAATCCCAGAACTTCACTCTTCCCCACCCTTTCATTATTTGCCAAATTCTTATTTCCCGTTTAATGCAGAGCCGGGTATAAAACTATTATTTTTATCAATTTAAATTTCGCGTAGTGGGTGACCGGCCACTTCGCTCCCGCCTTTCCCGCGCGGCTAAATGCCAACGGAGACAGCGGATTAGGGAGGCCCGTCGGCTCCTAGACGAAGCCTATCACGAATTTCTAGCTACCTTAAATAATAATAATAACAACGATAACATAATAGTGATAATCATAGTAATAGTCTAGACCCAGTGCCAGACCCTTCTTCCCTCAGCATCCCTCACTCTCCAAATCACCACCCTTGCTCACCTTCAGTTCCTTCCTCCCAACCTGCTTCTTCACTTCCGATTGTGGTACTCCCCCTTTCACCTCCTCCCCGTTCTCCTTCTCCTGACGCGGAATCCATCTCATCTGTCCTAACTCAACGAATTTTTCCCGACAACCCCCCCCCCTTTCCCGTTCTTCTTCTCCCGCTGACTCCACTTCGAGCGTGGAGTTCAAAATTTCCCCACCTCGTCCTCATTATTATTATCACCACGGCTATCACCGATCCTTAAATTCCCTTTTTTCGCAATTCCAAATTTCCACCGATCCTCTTCCCCCAGATGCCTTCATTATAATCTTCGAAAACGCGGATCCCGACGAAGTCCGAAACGCCATAACCGGACAACCTCCAGATGCTCATATCCCTGTTTTCCTTCTCCACTCTCCCCATCCTTTCTTAGTTCCGGTGCGTTCTTTCTAAATTTCTTTCCCCCTCCTTCTTGTACTATTAATAATACCCAGTAATTACCTTAATTTAATTTCCATCCGCCCTGTGCTTTCCTTCCGTTGAACATACTCACACACATTCACTCACCTAATTTCACGACACTATTTTCTTTGTATTTATCGTCCAGGTCCGCATTGATGTTTGCGAATACGTACACACATATACACCGCAATGTTCACACATCATTTACTGCTTTAAGAAACATTATATCTGTTAAATAAACGTTAAGTAATTTAATTTAAAAAGTAAGATTGTTAATAAGAACCTAAAAGTTAAGTTATTAGTATGGACCACAAAAAATTAATAACAATAATAATCAAATTGTTACTCAGCGCTAGTGGAATCACTAATTAATGAAAATATAATTATATGTTTAAGTAGAATATTTTGGTGTTAATTTCTTTTATTATTTCCTCGTAATTCGGTCCTGATAATAAAGATTCGCACACGGTCCCGGGTAAAAGGGATTCAGTTCCTTGACCTACAATAGGACCCACGATCGTACGACACTTGAAATCGGAGTCATAGCGTCTTATCGGGAAATTGACCCATATTTCGTCACCTAAATGTATTCGACTCGCTCCATCCCCTTCCATTCGGATGCATGCGTGACAAAGCGTCTGCTCTAACGTTCTTCTATACTCCATCCTTCTCATTCCTTCTTTCTCTCAAACATTTATATATTAGGAGTTGGACGTAACACATGTTTTCTTCATGTTTACAAGCAAAATTAAAGCTATGTAGTACTTTTTAAATTAGACAAAATAGAAGTTAATTTTTTTACTAACCCGCAGATATCGTTTTTCGATAAATGATTCATAATATACTTTCAATTTGAGTGAAAATATAATTTTGTCAAGAAAGCATTAATAATAATGTTAATAAAAGCGTTAATAATAAGTAAACGTTTTTCTGAAAGTGAATATAAACGTGAATATAAACTGGCATCGACGCGGTATCGATAATTTAATTCCAGATGTAGGATTCATACTACGTAAATGTATAAGCATGAATCTTACATCCAGACTTTCACCTCACTTAAAGTAGGGGGACAGGTGGGGTGAAACTCGCTTCGCGTGGAAAATCGGATGCCTCTTGACAGAAGAAGTGATGGGGTGAAACTCGCTTCCATGGTGGAAGAGATAATAAAAGCGCGTCCGCAGCGCCTTATATAATAAAGTTTTCATTGTCAATAACAGTACACATCAAAATAAAATAAAATTCTTGTTATAGTTTAAGGTTGGCCGAATATTTTCGTTTTCTATTCATACTGATTGGGTGACTAGGTTCTGAGAAAATTATAAAAGTAGTCATTTTTCAAGTTTAGACATTTTTTATCTCAAAAACTATTGATTTAAACAAAAAAGTCTTAGAGATAAAAAAAATGTCCATTTTGATCCAATTAAGCTTATAGAATTTTTTCGGAATTTTTATCTGAAGTTTAGATTTTTTAAACAAAAAATTGTTTTTAACTACATATTCAATGACTACATAAAAAAATAAAGTATATACAGATGTTTTTCCGTAGAATAATATATGAAGAATCGAATTAAATCATTTTCAGCCATTAGAATGTTCATGGTCGGTTAGTGCACTTTCTAAGCGACTTTTAAACCGCGCTCACCTATGAGTAATTCTTAAAATGCTAATACGGTCTTATGATTGGTTCGTGACATCTTAAGACTGTATTTAAGAATCTTGAATATAGGAATCGACTATGAATACCGGCCATGATTTTCCAAACTTTTTTTTAGAGGTATGACTTCCACGCAAAACGACTTTCACTCTATCTAAAGCAGGGGGGGAGGTGGAGTGTAAAATCATTACGTAAACAAGGAAAGGTATAGAATAGTTTTTAATATCATATATAGCAGAAATAAGACGTTATTTTTTAAAACATTTTTTGTCAATAACTTTTTAATGGATAACGGCTAAAACTTGTTGGAGGTTACTTAGGGTTATGACCTTAACAACATATCAAGGTCAAGGTCGGAGAGGTCTCCCCTAAAGTGAACATTTATCCTTCGTACACAATTCAAGATTATCATTCTCCGCGAGACAAACCGCAGATATTTCGGTGTGTTGAAGCGCGACGTTTAGAGAATTCCCTTTTTAACTCGTGCACTTTCCACGTCGCACATATTAACCATACATAATAAAGCTATAATTTCGTTGCGTGGATGCACATCGAGAGTAATCAAAGAATCATGAATCTTCTGTTAATGATGGTGCTACAATAGAGGCCATTTGATTCCTCTCTACGTATAGAAGAAACGACAAAAGTTAAATATTCATAATAAAAAGAGACTCTTAAGATTCATTGATAGTGATTTCTTTTCTTTTTCTTCTTGCCAGTATTGATTGCCATTTTATCATCAATTTTGTTAATTAAATACACAATACTATGTACTTAACTGTGCAATTAACAAAATTAATGGCATTTTAAACGATTAGCATGTAAAACATTAATTAATGATAATTAATACGCAATCTTCATAATGTACTGTAAAACGCAAAAATAATGTTTAGAGTTTATGTATTAATTATTCATACATAGGGAATAAAACTTGAACTTTTATTTTTTTCTAATATGAAATATTTATTTGAAATTCCAAGAATTTTAATCAGTTTTTGGAGAATACTTTTTAAATGTTATACTTATGCTAAATTCATTTATGCTAGTGGAGAAAATCTGAAGCAGATCGATGCAACATACTGATTTTCTTTTTCTTCTCCGCTTTCTCTCTCTCTCCCCCCTTTCCCTCCCTCCCCCTCTCTCTCCCTCTCTCTCCCTCTCTCTTTCTCTGTTTCAACATATGTTGTGAATATTTTAAAAATAGCATCAGCTTTCTTTAATTTGATAAATTTGAGAATAATTAAATATTTGTTATAGATATTCCAACTACATGGCGCCGAATACGTTCGGTAATTTAGCGACTTTATTCCTTAAAACTTCTCAACAGGATGTGTCGCAAAAGAAAGCGGCAGAGAAGACAGTAACGCAAAAATTATCAACCCAAAAGGTACAAAACATGAAGCCTAAGTATCAATGGATAATTGTTTGGCAAAACATGATAGCTTTTATCTATCTTCATCTCGGTGCACTTTATGGATTGTATATTTTAATAGAGGCTGCCAAATTTTATACATTCCTTTGGGGTACGTTTTATTTATATACCTTTTAAGACTTAAGACATAAGATTTGAGCATTGTTTTATGAATTGTCATTGATTAATATATGGGAAGAAATAATATAAAGAGTCATATCAATAGCATCAACTAGTAGATCTCTATAAAATGATTGAAAGTATTTCATGTATAAAAGATCTCATAATTTTAATATCGGCAAACTTGCTTGATTTAATTTATTTTTTTAGTTATAGTAGTTGGAGTTTTCACAGGTATCGGTATTACAGCAGGTGCTCACAGACTGTGGGCTCATCGGACTTATAAAGCGAAATGGCCGATGAGAGTCATTCTTATGCTTTTACAAACCACGGCTTACCAAGTAAGTCTCCCGATGATGCTGTTATTCATACAACAATCGTTGTAAATTCATAGTTATTGTCTCGTGTATACTCTCTAAATTCTTTGGAGTAAAATATCTCACTTTAAAGAATGAAAATTAAGTCAGTCTTAGAAAAAGAGAGTGACTCAATTTTCAATCTTTAAGAGTGCAGAGATTTAATATTTTAGAATAACAATTTACTCTAAAAGTTTTAGACAGTATAGTTTAAAATAATATATACTGCAAATTTTTAAAGAATCACTTTGAAAATATAAAAGATTCATTGTTTATGAGAAATAAATTTCTCTATAGAGGAATTTCTTGAATGTTAGTAGGATATACATAGAGGTTATAACGCAGGTCCTCTAAGGAGGATGCGGGACACTAGGGGTATTCGTAGGCGCGGGGGAGGAGGTGCGGGGAAAGTCCCAGAATCGGCGATATCGGTGTTTACGTAAATGTTTACATAAACAGCGATCCAGGATCTGTAAACTTTATTCATAAAACGTATACCAGCGTTAGTAGCGCCGCTTGCTATAGAGGGACCGCAAAATGGAACTTCGTTTTATAAATGGAGTTTACAGATCCTGAGCGATACCATTGATACGTGCCGCCATGTTGTGACGTCACGTATCATGTTCTCTTGAGGGGGAGGGTGTCCTGAGCCCTACAGCCGCCATCGCCATCGCCGCCCTCGCTTCCGCCGCCGCCATCATGCGTGCTATCTCATATACTTACCATCTTTCTCTCGATGCGCTGCCGTCTTCTCCTATCACCTTTTTTTTCTTACACTCTCTCCTACTCCTTTTCTTTCGCACACAAAACCATTTGAAATGTCACGACATGTCCGGATGATGATATCATCAATGTAATTTGATACAATTGCAACGTTGCCAAATAGTGTGCATAATGATGGGTGTGTTTCAAAATTCACTGGCAATGCTGGAAATGTATAGTATACGTGAAGTAAATGTATAGTAAACTGTATATTTTCAGCGCTGGCAGTCAATTTTGGAACACAGCCGATATAAAAAAGTTAAAAATCGAGATGCATTGCGACGTTGCCAAGCAGTGCGCATAACGATATAAAATGAAAAGATCAATGGATATAAAACGATATAAAAAAAAGATCAATTTTAACCCCTCCAACTGAGCGCGTGTTCACTTTCATACTTGTACATTCTTTCTTCTTACGGACAGGTATATACGTACGTACATCATTCGCGACACGGTAAAAGAAACGCCGGCTGCTGTTTATTTAAACGGAGTGCGATACAGTATCGAGGCATAGGATAGGACGAATGGGGAGTAAAGAAAATACGTATACATATAGTGATGTGAACGAAAAATTGTTTATTCACATTCTATTATATCATTTTTTCATACGTATTAAAAATTGAAGCTAAGAGCTCGCAATCGACGAGCTGATACTTGTTAAAGATATTGCTATCGCGTATAGCGTTCTCGGAGGCGATATTGAAGAATCGTGTATACTTGACATCGACCGTATTGGTGAGTCTAGATCAGTGGTCGGAATTAGTTGCTCATTTCGGACCGATTCCCGAAGCGACGCCCATTGTTTCCCCATTATCGCTCGTCACTCGACGGTCGAGCCGCCGATCACACGGTTGGTGCTATGCCTCAGGAGTGACCCTCAGTGAAAAATACGCTGGTAGCGTACCTTTAGAAGAAACTTGTAAAAAATTTTACTTTTAATATCATTTTTATAATAACAATAGTGTACGATAATTAGAAAAGTCTTATGCGAGATTATAGAGTTTTGAAGATTCATGTATATAAAAAAGAAACTACTATTAGCGTGATCATAGTGTTTGTAATAGATGATAATACTACATATGATAGTATTATGCGCGTGATAGTTACATGTGCAACGTTTCATAACACTACATATAAAAATACTACAAGCAAAGTATAATAGTGTACTTGTGAATATCATTTCCTTCTTTTTAGTATAATATCGGTGTTTAATTAAATGTTTTGTATTAGAATATTTTACTCTCGAGCCGTATATTTTATTATCTTCTTCGATATTTTTTTAGTGGAATAGACATACGGAGGAAACTACTAAAAAAAACGCATCTGCAATAATACCTCAAAGATGATGTGAAAAAATACCTTAATTCTAATTATCGTACATTATTGTCATTTATATTTTTACGAAAAATGTATACCACCTTGATCAAAAAGTTCCCGGAATTACCACCAGGTGATGCTCTGAGTCAGCTGATTTGAGTTCTGTTTTTTTTTGTTAGGTTGCCACATCTATCATTGACATTTCCACCAAATTTTATCGCCATAGCTTGACATTTGTAAAAGTTACGCCGTCTTGAGTACATCTACCTCTGCACGGTTTTCGATTTTTTACAGTTTTAAAAATGGAGTTGAATTTGCAACATCCGTGGTTTTTTGACTCGATCGAACAGAAAAAAATCACAGGGAGCCATATCGGGTGAATTCGATGGCTGTTGGATGGTATTCGTTTCGTTCTTGGTAATTTGGTGGAAATGTTAATGATAGATGTGGCAACCTAACCAAAAAAACAGAACTCAAATCAGCTGATTCAGAGCATCACCTGGTGGTAATTCCAGGAACTTTTTGATCAAGGTGGTATACCATATTTATATACAGGGTGTAGAAAAAGTCCCGGATCCCTTAAATATCTTGGAAAGTAATCATTTTTGAAAAAAATGTTTTATACAAAAGTTGTAGGGTTGAAAATGATCTATTGACTAACCTTATCAATTTGACCTTGGATGGTGCCACCAAAATCAAGTCAAGTCAATTTTTTTAAAAATCCCTGATTGGCCGCACTTTGTTTAACAGCCGAAATATCGGTAACGTATCAATGATCTCTTCTTAGTCGAAATATCTTGGCCTTCTTTGTCCGCGTTACTAGTGTAAGATATTTAGATGTAAATAGCCGTGATCGGTCGCCGAAACCCTTTGGGTTGTCCTACGGACCAGATGTCCGTAGGACAACTATATTTATCGAACCTAATTATAGCAATCGAAATTGGCAGCGCTCGACCACACAGCGAAACTGTCAAAAACCGGAGCACGAACGGAGAACGCACGGTTTGTCGCAGAACGCGAATTCAGTAACATGGTATTCGAAACCCACCGTCGCTTTTGTAAATTACACAATATATTAAAAGTAAAAGTGTATTGTTGGAGAAGTTATTCAAATAAAAGTTTGTTTAAATAAAAGGATAAAGAAGAGATACGTGAATTACGTTTAGCCTTTTCCTTTTTGTATTTTCCTCTATTGAATATCTTACACTAGGTAGTACCGTGACGCATTTTAGTGACGGTACGGGACGGCGCGGGCGGGACAGCGGCGATGGCTATCCGCGGTCCACGGTGGTGGGGACGGCTGCGGCTGCAGGGCCCAGAACTCCCCCCAAGAGAATACGATACGTGACGTCACAACACAGCGGCGCGTATCAATGGTATCGCTGTTTATGTAAACATTTACGTAAACATCGGTATCGCCGACCCTTGCTGACCTTGGGACCTTTTCCGCGTCTTCCCCCTCGCGCTTACGAATACCCCTCAGAGGACCTGTTAGAATTAGAATCCCCATATACAGGGTGTCCGTATAACTATTACCACCTGAAATATCTTCTAATGTATGAGGTGTAGAGAAAAATTTATACAATCAAAATTACACGATGTAAAGGGGACTATCACTATGGTGATAATAATTTTTGTCCAGGTGGAGACGCTTCGGAGATTTCAAGGTCAACTTCGTTTTTTTGGATTAAATGGAATTATATGAATTTTTTTATCCAATATGATTCCTCTAATTATTCTGCATATAAAAGTATTAAGGTAGAGATATAAAAAAACTAACGATTTACGAGATATTTTGTACTTTATTGTGACACATATTGACATAAAATATTAAATAACTCGCAATCTATTAATTTTTTTTATAATCGTACCTTAATACTTTTATGAACAGAATAATGAGATGAATCAATTGGTAAAAAGGAAACATATAGTTGCTTATTTAAAAAATTATCTATTTGGCATACATATTTTTTTAAAACAATTATGTATTTTCTTTCCACCAATTGATTCATTTCATTATTCTGTTCATAAAAGTATTAAGTACGATTATCAAAAAAATTAATAGATTACGAGTTATTTAACATTTAATGTCAATATGTGCCACAATAAAGTATAAAATATCTCGTAAACTATTGATTTTTTGACATCTCTATCTTAATACTTGTATAATATAATATATGCAGAATAATTATGGGAATCATATTGTATAAAAAAATCATACAATTCCATCTAAAAAAACGAAGTTGACCTTGGAATCCGAATCTCCGAAACGCCTCCACCTGGACAAAAGTTATTATCACCATATGATAGCCCCCTTTACACCGTGTAATTTTGGTTATACAATTTTTTCTCTACGCCTGTAGGGTACAAAATACACGTACGTCAGCACAAGAGCATGAGTCTTGCACTGTATTTGCGTCTTTTAAATCAAGTACAAAGTTTATTATAACACTGTTTATTATAACACCGTTTACTGTTACGAACGCACTACGCAGGACAATATAATTAATAATAATGTTGAGGAAGCGCACGTGTCTTTAAGAATGAATCTCATACAGTCGGTATCGTGGACGTGAGGAGACTGACTCGGTATCGTGTTTCCCCACCATCTCGGATTCATTTTCCGAAAATGTCCGAGTTTTGTTTTTCTCGGTGATCGTAAAATCACTAGAGCCGCCAATCCTTAGACGGCGACGGACAACGAGACGCGGAACCTTTACGATGAGATTAGCGATCAGAAGCCGCGCGAACACGAGATCATAGGCACCGACTTTCCTCTGATATGCCGCGTGGTCGCCACATGCTTAAGATACGCGTATTTGCTCGTATTGTGTGTCGCATGTATCTGTGTGTCTGGTCCGAGTTTTTGACGCATATGCATAACAACACCTTATAGATTAGAAAATATTTCAGGTAGTAATAGTTATTGGGACACCCTGTATATCCTCAGGTTTTGTAATTATCATTTAATATGCGTTTTGCAGAATAACATTTACGTGTGGGTGAGAGATCACCGAGTTCACCACAAATTTGTTGACACGGATGCGGATCCGCACAACGTGAAGAGGGGCTTTTTCTTCTCGCACATGGGCTGGCTTTTGGTCCGAAAGCACCCTGATGTCATTAATAAGGGAGCCACGATCGACATGAGCGACCTCGAAAAGGACCCCGTCGTTATCTGGCAACGCAGGTACGACAAGTTATCGTTTTTATAAAATCAATCTTTAAGGCTTCACAAATGAAATTATTTTTTTTCTAAAAGAAATCCAGACAACACAAAGTCCAAAATTGAGACGTAAGACGTCTTTAAAATGGCTTTTAGACACCAAAAACGTCTTATGTTTCGATTTTGGATACTTTGTATTGTCTGGGAAATGATGAAACTTCATCAAATCGTCAAAATCATCAAAGATCATCCAAATGAATCTGTTTATATTACAGGCATTACAAGATTTTGATTATTTTGTGCTTCCTTCTTCCCACTTGGATACCGTGTTACTTTTGGAACGAGAAACCTATATACGCGTGGTACTCTACCCTTTTCAGGTACACAGTCTCACTGAATCTGACTTGGTTAGTGAATTCCGCGGCTCACATATGGGGAATAAAACCATATGACAAGTTAGTATCACCGAAGATTTATTTATTCATTTATTTTATTACAATGATTACAATTAAATTTAAGTATAAAGAGCATTACATGTACTGTGAAGAACAAGGTGATTAGATATTATAGAGAAATAGCAAACCAAAGCACGAAAAAGTGAAACTACAATTTTAATAGCTGATGTAACGCAACACCTGATTAGGATAAGCGTTATTTCAATATTACAATACTACAATACGCGCATATTAAAATAATAGTGTTGTACAATTGTATAGCAAAGCAAAACATACAATGTAAAGATAGTAAGAAATGTGATAAATAGAGCAGAGTGTTTCCAGTTTACTTGAGCAGTATAAAATGTAATGGATTAGAAGTGTAAATAGCACTAGAAAGAGAGACGGACCAAGATCCGTCGTTTATCCTATTGTACGAATCACAAATATAAATGGAAATCAATAAAGAAAACGTTATCTTTTTCGCAGCACCATTAGCCCCACTAACAACCTCAGCGTCAGCATTGGTGCTTTCGGCGAAGGCTGGCACAATTATCATCACGTGTTTCCGTGGGATTACAAGGCTGCCGAATTGGGCAACTATCGCACAAACTTTACCACCGCTTTCATTGATTTCTTCACCTGGATCGGCTGGGCGTATGATTTGAAGACTGTAACACACAGTATGATAAAGAAACGCGCAGACCGAATGGGTGACGGTTCGAAATATGCGCGAACAAACGTTCATGATGAGCATCATCATTCGCATGAGGGAGTTATATGGGGGTGGGGCGATATCGATATGGAACTCGAAGATATACAAGAGGCCGAAATCATAAATAAGGGCGATTGAGGTCCTAAATTTCAATTCACCAAAACTTCTATATGTAGCATTATATTCGGTCGAAATTACGCAAAACGTGGACTACCGACAAACTTTTATGGTTTATGATGATATTGCTAATTCATAATGAATTTGGTGATCATATCTAAAGGTTTAATATATTGTTATACATCGTGAGGTATCGTAATCTCTTTTTGAAGATGGTAGTACTTATTACATCAATATCGATCGCAACTGATGCATCAACAATAATGTTACGATAATAGTTGTTAAATTACAATTGTTCCTTTTTCTTTTAACAGTTCTTGTTCGTGCATCATGCAATCAATGGTAACAACGCGTCTAGAACGCGACTGTGATTACGACGTTTTTTATTTAGCTTTGAACAGAGATATTTTTAAAAACTAATACAATATTTATGCAAAGGGCGTTTCACTCTCGAGTCAACAGTTTTTAATATTAGAAATCATAATGTAATCAAGTACAAATTATGATTATATACATGAAGGCATATGAATAACACAGGCCTGCGATGTTTCAGACGATTATGAATAAGGAATGGTTTCCTATGTAATTTTGTGCGCTGAATCCGAACCTGATGGCAGAATTTGCCTATCACGTCATCGAAATATTTGAGGTTAGATTGCCCAAAAATGACCATTTTGACCTTTATGATTTGATTGTGCGGGATCGAAATTTATTCAAGTGTTTTGATGAATGGCATCGAACAGTACTAACTTTTAGCTTAAACAGAATTTTTTGCTTTTTGTTTTACGAATTTTTTTTTCGCTGTGATACAAACATTAACTTTTCAATGTTTGCTACGCGATACACAGTGGAATGGAGCACATGTAGATTAGCCAATGTATTAACGTCAATGTAATATTTTACAAATGTTCTTAGATATTCACTGAAGTGGAATCTGAAATCAAAAATTCAAAATTCAAAATGACGGATCCAATATGGCGGATGAAAAATCGAAAACCTTAAAATTTTGAATTAAAATAAATATGGTCGTATTCTATGAAAAATTTGAAATAAGAATCCTCTATTGTAATTTTTCGATTGAACGCATCGTTTTCGCGATAAAAATGCATAAAAACTGAATTTTTGAAAGAGGGGAAAGCTGAATTTCAATTATCGAACCGAAGATTATGGGATACGACACGTATAAAATCTGTGTGTTGTATTTTGGTTCGCAGATAACGAATTCGGATTTGTAAATTTCAAAATGGCGAATACAATATGGCGAACAATCGATGATAAAGCGACGAAGAGCAATGTTGCATTTTGTTTCCCAAAAAATAGGTTTCACAAAAGGGTACTACTTGCGACATTTAACGCTTCTTGAATTTTTAATAATCTTTGAACGTTTTCTTCAAATCATTTCTAAGAATTTTTTTAATAATTTAATATTAAGTTTTCTTTGTACAACGAAAACTTAATATTAAATTATTAAAAAAATTCTTAGAAATGATTTGAAGAAAACGTTCAAAGATTATTAAAAATTCAAGAAGCGTTAAATGTCGCAAGTAGTACCCTTTTGTGAAACCTATTTTTTGGGAAACAAAATGCAACACTGCTCTTCGCTTTATCATCGATTTAGCGGTTTGCAGAGCTTGAAAAGAGAATTTGTTAGGTGTAAATCGATTAATATTTGACCTGTGTGAAGTTTTGTAGTACTCAATGAAAATATGCACTGTGAAATATTTTGCGTTTTTTAAAATCTTGTTCGCCATATTGTATCCGCCATTTTGAAATTTACAAATCCGAATTCGTTATCTGCGAACCAAAATACAACACACAGATTTTATACGTGTCGTATCCCATAATCTTCGGTTCGATAATTAAAATTCAGTTTTCCCTTTTCAAAAATTCAGTTTTTATGCATTTTTATCGCGAAAACGATGCGTTCAATCGAAAAATTACAATAGAGGATTCTTATTTCAAATTTTTCATAGAATACGACCATATTTATTTTAATTCAAAATTTTAAGTTTTTCGATTTTTCATCCGCCATATTGGACCCGTCATTTTGAATTTTGAATTTTTGATTTCAGATTCCACTTCAGTGAATATCTAAGAACATTTGTAAAATATTACATTGACGTTAATACATTGGCTAATCTACATGTGCTCCATTCCACTGTGTGTCGCGTAGCAAATATTGAAAAGTTAATGTTTGTATCACAGCGGAAAAAAAATTCGTAAAACAAAAAGCAAAAATTCTGTTTAATGCTAAAAGTTAATACTGTTCGATGCCATTCATCAAAACACTTAAATAAATTTCGACCCGCACAATCAAATCATAAAGGTCAAAATGACAATTTAATCTCAAATATTTCGATAACCCGACGTGATAGGCAAATTCTGTCAGATTCGGACAAAATTACATCAGCGCACAAAATTATATACGAAACCACTCCTTGTACTCGATCATCTTTGAACACCCTCGATTTTGCAGGTCTGTGTAATGTTTGAAATCGAGCAATTGAGTGAAATTAGTATGAATATTTTGCACAGAAGAGAAATCTGCAGTTTATTGAGTGAGTCAATGCAGCGAGAATTTGTCGAGAGCGAGTCGATGCGTTTAAGAAACGAGTCAGTATCAATGTGAATCAACAGAAATAAAAACGTAATCGACGAAAATAATATGCACAATATACACGTTAAAGGGTTTTCTACTTTGTACGCATGAGCGAACGAGAGAACACATCTACGTCCAATGAGTCCTTATCTACATGAGCTTTATCCCATTCCACAAACGTTTGGTCTAGAATATATTATGTCTGTGGTTGCTTCATAGACTTATAAGATGCCCCTACGATAGAAATGAAACAAACAGAACGGTGAGAAATGCAAAACGTCGATAAATCTCTATCCTTCTCTTACGCGCGCATATTCACAGCAATGGAGAAGAATAGATTCTTCACCGTTATTTTTGCTCTCACTCACTCTCACTATTATGTCGCCTTCACTTCAACCATGGAAGCATGCTGGGTCTATTTTATAAGTCTATGTGCACTGTTAAGAATGTAACCACGAGTTTTTCCTTTACATATAAATGAAACTCGTGGTTATGAACGAAATTAAAAGTAATGAATGATTTAACTGAAAATTAGTTACTTAAATGTAATGAACGTGTACATAAAGTTTCATAAATTTTCATGAAAAATACATTAAATTTCATGTACATGTACACAAATATATTTTTCATTTATAAATACATTAAATTTAATGTAATGATAATGTTGTGAAATTAAGTTCAAATTATGTGTAACTTAAAAGTATATTTATCATGAAATTTTTAACAATGTGGGTTGCTTCTAATCGATGTATTAATTGAACATTAATGTAAACATTTTGTGAGCAATGTGTTATAACGCAGCTAATATAATACATACTTCTCCAGAAATACTTTCTTTTCGATCAAAATTAGGTAAATTATTCTACCAAATGGTATTTCGCGACTAAAAACAAATTTTTAATGCCACAAAAGAAAGTTACATTAAAATATTTCTACAGTGCACTTTATAAATAATAACTCTTTTGAGACCGACGAGACCCAGATAGCAACGTGTCTATCTTGTTGCTGGCATGTTACTTGCTAAGTATGCATTGCTAAGCATGTGTTGCTACCAGAATTGCAGCAACTGAGTCCTCATTTGTTGGCAACTTGATGCCTTCATGATATGATAACTTTGAGTAGCAACTTGCCAGCAGTTTGCCGATAACTTTAAAATCGTCATCATCAAAATTCGCACTACTGCCATCATGTTGCCATAATAATATGTAGTATCATGCTTTCATGTAGTCAATGCTTTCATATTGCCGACAACGCAAGATAACATTAATATAGCTATCTTGCTGGCAACTTAAACTGCTGGCAATATATATACACATTGTTGCCTACATGTTGCTACAATGTCGATATATTCGAAATCGTTGAAGACAAATCTATGGCAAGTTGCCAACATCATAAGCAGTCACAGATTTGTGTGATTTTGCTAAGACACGCTTTCCTATCTGGAGACCGAATAGGTAACAGAAACATACTTTCTGAATTAATATTTGAAATATTTTTATAATATCAATTCATTTGTATTTTATATAAGTATTATGAAAGTTTCTAATTAAAAAATAATACAATTCAAAAAAATGAAAAACTTAATTTTCGTACGAAGAATTTGACATAATAATTTTCGTACACCATCTATATAAGAATGCAATATCCGAGTTTGTATATTATCTTTAATAAGGTCAAAATAGTGAAAATAATGTAAAATAGTGCAAGAGGAATCAGTAGTTAGTGAAAATAAGGAATAAGTCAAACCGAGTTAACGCGAATCGAGCGTCGTTAATCATCACCGCTTGCAATAGTGCGGATGTACTGGATGAAATCACACCGTCAACATTCTTAAAATGTGTAGTCTGGAGCTTCATTATTATTACATTTGAAATTGCTTGAATTCGCTTGAAATTGATTGTAATTGTTTGTTAATGTTTATATGACTCGATTTGATTCGAGAGCTAAATGCCCCTTGTATTTATAATAACCATTTCAATTTGTAATTTTAATATCATCTCATTACTAGATATTTAATCTTTTGCAATTATTCTCTTCGCCATTTTTTACAAATTTTAAAATACTTATACAAATTAATTTTCGAGATATGGATAATTGAGAGCAAACGCAGTTAAATTTAGCATACATCTTTGTATAATAATATCAAATAATAAATTTATAACATTATTTCTTTATTAATACGAACGTTCCGTCTTTGTTTAAGTCATTTTCAGCATATATCACTGCTTATAATTTGAGGTTTTCATTACTTGGTGGGTTGAGATGATTGCCAATTCGACACGGAATATGTTCTAACGTAATTAATATTCTAAAAATGAAGTTAATCAACTTTAATTGTATATTATTATTATGGCGCTCCAATGTTATACTTGGTATGTTGAATCTTAACAGTCACACAGCTGGTTAAGAAGGTTATTCTCAATATTCGAATTGGCAA